CCGTCATGTTTCACTCACAGATAAAACAAAAAATTCCCAGTTTGCATAAAAATGATCCCAGCCAGATTTAGATTTATAGGGTTTGTTTGTTTCCAAGTCAAACTTCCTATATGGGCCAACAACACCTTCCAGTTTCTTGAAAGAAAAAAAAAACACAACAAAACAAAACACCTTTCTTTTCTTCTCTGTTCAGTAAAGTGTTTTCCTCGTCTTTAAATATGAATAATCATGTAGGGCAATTCTTGCCATCATATTTCTTGCATATTTTATCTATTCTGTTTTTACTGTATTTTCATTATCTTAATTAAAATAAGGAGACAAAAAGTTGCTACTGTAATTTTAACTGGGATGTTTTGGTGTGCAGTTTATTAAATCGTATGAAATCTAAGATGGAGGGTTGGATAATTGGGAATCAAAAGTCAGTTGCTTCTCAAATGTTTTTTTAAGATACTGAAACTTCCTTATGTGCTCTATGTAATCATTAGTTAAATACAGAAATTTTCAAGTGTTATGTTTTCTTCCAGCAATTTGTCAACATATTTAATACTTGCTCATTTGAAATGCTAAGATAATTTTCCCTGTGTACTCTTCTTGGATGTTACATAGCAAAGGATAAGCCAGGTTTTATAGAAGCAAACGTGCAGCAATATCTGCCATTTTCTATTTAGGGATCTCGCACTGTGTACAGTGGGCAAAATATTCATGGTGGACTGTCAGGTTCTGTAGTCTCATAGTGACAGTATATATTTGCATGATTAAATCCATCTGAATAATGATAGAACAAAGATAATCTGTGTGAATTTCTCTTTTCTTTGCAGCTGTGTAGATAAATTCTTTTGTTATGATGTATCTTGCTACATTAATTGAAATAAGTAAAATAATTGGGAACGTGGTAGAAATGAAGAGTATAATGTTCACAAGGATGCTTGACTATTCTGATACTTCTGCATTAATCAATTAGCCCTCCTACTATTGTCTCAAAGTGCATCAACTGAAACAAAAAGGGAATTTTCTGGTGACATTTCTGCATTCCTGTGCTCTGCAGTCATATGGAGATGCAGTGTAAATAAGTGACATTGTACAGTTTGACAGCTGGAGAACCCAAGCATGGAAATGTTAAGCAGTTGTCTGAATGCCTCCTTTGGAGCTCTGGTCTGTGGCCCTCCAGTAAACATCACACTTCAGGGATGCTTCCTGAATGCTGAGTCGTCTTTTCTTAAATCCCCATGAAATAACTACATTTCATCTTTTGTCATTTTTCCACTTTTTAGGAGAATTTGGAGAAGTGTGCAGTGGGCGCCTAAAGCTGCCTTCTAAAAAGGAAATTTCAGTGGCTATCAAAACCCTGAAAGTTGGCTACACAGAAAAACAGAGGAGGGACTTCCTGGGAGAAGCAAGCATCATGGGACAGTTTGACCACCCTAATATCATTCGACTAGAGGGAGTCGTCACTAAAAGTAAGATATGGCACGGGCATCTGTTTTGCATGGAAAGCGTTGCTGGAGGTCCCTTCCACCCTAAGTTATTTTGTGATTCTCTGATCTTTCAAGGAAGAGCAAAAGCAAATAAAAAACTGAATCATCCACGTTTATGTTCTGCAGACCCCTCCAGAAATGTTTATGTTATAACCACATTAATATGTACCAAATATCCTTCAAAAGGGACAACAGCGGAAACACATAGCTTGACTTTTGCAGTGTACGTTGTATTTCCTCAAAAACAAGAGGAAAAATTACCCATGCACGAGCACCCACTAAACCCGCACTGATGGATCCAGTGGAGAACGGTGTCGGAGGCAGTTGCCCGCAGGGCAGCTGCAGGACCTTCACCGTCTTGCTGCTCTCTGGCTGCCGAGAACTTAAAAGCAGTACCCAGGGTTAACGAGATAGGAAAATAATGGGAAGTAAAAATTATCTACTTGAAAAAATAGAGAGAACATGGAGAAAAAGGGGCATTTCTGAAGAACAGTGCAGCTCTGGAATAATCCGGTAGGTTAAATAAACTCCAGAGCTACATATTGCTACAAAGTGGCCAAGAGGCTCTTGCTGATAATCTGGTGGGAGTCATGGAGTCTGCTGTCCTAAGGTTTCCTGATTGCACTGAAGCAGTATGTTCTGCTTCAACTAAATCATTACGTTTTCTTATTAGCACAAATTAATGAACAGCCTACCTGGCTACGGCAACTGATACTAGTATATTAAAAAATTAGTCCAAACTTTTTCTTACATGGTTTTCATGCAGGGAAAATATTCCATGTGATAATCAGCATGTACCAGTCTGAGGCATTTTAAAGATACTGATCCTCTAGAATTTATACCTCTTCGTAAAAAAATTTCAAAAAAAAAAACCAAAAAACTTAGGGCTTTAAGCTGTCAGTAGTAAAATTGATTTTATTTCTTTGATAATATTTATATTTTTATTAATAGACATTTTCTAAATCTGCCTTTGGATGTTTTTGCTGTGGGTTTGTTTTGGGTTTTTTTAAAGCATGTTTTTGTCTACGTTTATGATAACAAATCACTTTCTCATTTTGAGACAAAAATACAACTGAAAACTCCATCCACACTCAGTACCTTCCTGGAAAAGTAACATATTTAAGAACCCTCTCCAGCTCCAT